AATCAACATATATTAGATTTCAATACAAGTAGGTATGAAGGTTGAACTGTTGAATATTCTGAAGTTCAACTCTTTCAAAATCTATTCTATGCACAAACTTCACTTTCTCTGTGCTGTTTCTTTAGCATCTCTTATTTTAAAGAGGTGCCTCACAGGCATTATCTCTGCTTCTTTTATCCAATTTCAAAGTGCAATTTTCACTGGACTGAGGAAAATAAAGTCTGATAGCTAAAAACTAAGAAATATATCACTAGTTGCTACTATATAATAACAAATATTGTCTCAGATTTTACAGAATAAGTGTATTTCACTTATTATACTTCCTGATAAATTGGAGTTAGTGATGATTTGAGGGGAGAGGGAAATCAAACTTGCAAAAGGTATCAGGATATTAAAACAAATTTCATATTGCTTGAATGCATAATTCTAAAGAGACTATGTTATATGCAAAAACTGTAGATCACAGATGCAAATGGCAAAAAATAAAAAGCAAAACTCTCAGGTTGACTTTGACTATCAAAAATTGAAAAAGAGATTAGTAAATAATTTAGATGTTACCAACCATTAAAATTTTTATTTGTGACAATGTTTAATGGCATTAAAGATACTAAGTTGATACACCAACTTTTAAACTGTGGAGAAATGTATTTGGAAAGAAATGCACTGGAAGTAAATAACAAAATATGAAAGAATTGGCTCACTGGTGTTCTGCTTAAAAATACACATATTTTTCACATTTATTTTTCAATCCATGTATGTTCTACTTATATTATCAGAAAAAAATTACCTTTAAAATAGTCTCAAATTTCATTTAATGTTTTACAGCACTTCACAAGTTAAAAGCAAGGCAAGGAGGATAATTTTCCATTTCAGCATTAAGGAGAATTGCTAAATTCTCAATAGGAGGAGCTTGAAATAAAACTCAGATCCTCCAAAGCCAACTTTAATGCTCCTTCTGTCATATCATATTAGAAGGACACAGGAAATAATATATATGAACACTATGTTATTCATAATAATTGTAACCTAAGTTATTATTAATACTATTATTTAAATTTGATTTTCTTTATAAATTCCTAATTTCAATGAGATAAAAATACATGTATGAGATTAGACAAATGTTAACAAAAATGGACAAAGTCAAATGTGTCAGAAATAAAAAATTCATAATGGCATTTATGCTTCATTCGTTCAATATTATGCTAGCATGGATTAGAAGACAATCTAGAACTCTAGTTTTGCTTGAGAAAAATATTGAACATGGTACTCAAAGTAAGAATGGAGTCATACTAAGAATTCTAATAATGACAAAATGTGGGAAAAAAAAGTCCATAAAGTAAGACACAAAAGGAAAAGATAAATAGACTTGATAAATAACCCTGTAGACTTTTAATTAAGTAATCTGTTTTAATCAGGGAGAAATTAAAGTAGAAACTAATATCTTTATAACTATTTATTCAGGGTTACTTGTAGGGCATACTTAAGAGATAAACACAATCAATAAGATTTAAGCGTAAGATTCTTTTTCAGAAGCACACACCTCTCTATCAGCTGACTTTGTTTAAATCCTGTACCTCCACTCTCTCCACTTTGTGCTGGTCTTTTCTTTATCCAGTAGACTCTGGCTGATGCTAGACTCTGAGCAGGGCTTGTGTGTTCCATGACTTTCAAACTCAGCCATTTTTCAGGCAGTAGCCTCTAAATCAAAGATTATAAAAGATTCAAAAGATTGTGCTGTGCTTAATTGCTCAGTCATGTCCGACTCTGGGACCCCATGGACTGTAGCCCGCCAGGCTCCTCTGTCCATGGGGATTCTCCAGGCTAGAATACTGGAGTGGGTTGTCATGCCCTCCTCCAGGGGATCTCCCAATCTAGGGATCCAACCCAGGTCTCCCACATTGTAGGTGAATTCTTTACATCTGAGCCATCAAGGAAGCCCTTTAAAAGATTATAGCCATGCAAATAAAAATATGTGAAGGCAATTAGTTGCAATACACATATTTATCTCACCTGTGATTGGGACACAGATTCAGAGAAATATTTCTCCAAGTGCAAGAATGAAAAATGGCAGTTGATCCTCAGCCTTAGAATCAGGGAGACACACACTAAAAAAGGAACTGGGAGATTGGGCTAAACTATCATGCTATTTCTACATGGGCAGCTTTTACTCAGTTACTCCTGATTATGCCAAGTAGGAAATTGGACCATTGTAGCAAAATCTTCTTATTGCTAAAGAATAGCTTGAAATTTACATTTTTAAATATCTCATTTTAAAAACACTGGTAATTTTAACAAATGCCAAACATTATATAGGCCAAAGAAAAAACATCTATAGAGCATATTTGACACACAATCTCCTGGTTAATGGCCTCTGGTTTAATAATTTGATTACTATATTTTTGTACATATAGTTGAGATATTTCTGAAAAGTCATATAATTTGACTACTAAAATGTCAAGGACAGTTTACTGATTACAAAAAACTAAATAGAATGAACAAAGCTGGATTATGTATGCTATTATTCCACACTCATAACTTCACAAATGCCAAGCATCTCACAACTCCATTTATTATCAAAAAGAAAATATCAAAGACCAGAGGTTGACAATAGAATAATAAGTATAACCATTATAAACTTTATTTTAAATGCAGTATAACTAAGGTTAGGTTACAAGTTCAAGTTGTTTCTCTGTGTATGCAAATGTATGACTGTATTTCTAAATGATGACTAACTAGCCAATTATAGTCCCTAGAAAGTTCTGTCATAACTGACATTTTAAATGAAGCATTCTGCTAAGAAAACCAAAATTTCAACCTCATTTGAATCACTTTAGCTATTCAGAATTCTGTTAATCAAGTAGAAAAAAAATTGTCTTTAACACTTACAATGATTTATCTGTTTGTATGAATGCAAGAAAAATGATCACACCGTCAAGTAATAGATTACAAGTACAGAGAAAGTTCACATTACAGCTATGCTGATGAAAATTACCTGCAGGCTGTTACAACACAGCCTGTGAATTAATTAACCTTTTGCCATAAAAATCTTGAAACTTCAGCAAAGACTGAATTTTCTGTTTCTCTTGCTCTAGCTTCCTTAGCACTGAAATACTGTCCCTTCGCAGCGAAAACACTGTGCAATTACTGAGGCAAACAAATAAACATACTCAGATTCCATCATTGCTCCATGTTATTATAATAAAATCACACAAGTTGTGATTAAAATACAGCAATTTAGATGTTTGCTCTTTTGTTTCAGTTAAAGATGAGAGATAATGGTTGATTTCTCCATAGATCTTTAATTTTATGAATAAGACTGGCAGTTTCTTCGTATGAATAATGGCTACCTCTTAATTATGTATGTTCCAAATTTGGGAGAAACTAATTAAATAAAGCAGAACTTTTGCCAACATTTTAAAAAGTAAGTACTCACATGCTTTCTTCTAAACTTCATTTTCAAATAAATAAACACACTATCTCTATTTGAGTGTACTGGTCAAGTACTTTGATAATTTCCACTTGGGGTCTGAAGCTGAGAAATCATCTAACAATAAATAAAACTATGATCTAGGGAAATAGGATTTCTAAATAAACAATGGTAACATGAGCCGTTGTATTCCTTCAAGTTGTTAAAGCCAAGGATCAATAAGACATGGTGAATGTGAAGATGCCAGCAAGAATTAAGGACTACTAAATTATACTCTACATATTGACATAATAATTTCACATCCTTATGCAACTGCTTGGAAATACTTTTTACTATTTTCTTTGATGTAATTAATATCTCAAGAGGGTTAACAGTCTCAATATTTAATTGTTCAATAACAAGCAGTTAGAGCTCTTCTATTAGCTTTTTTTTTTTTGAGCTAGCTTCAATTAATTCATTATATAATTAGTCTTAACAATGGATAAGCCATTCTCTCAGTAGGTTAGGAGATATTCTTGTTTAGATACTGCGTTATATATATATATATTGTTTTAAAACATTAGGGTATTTCTCTAGTCTCTCTCTCTCTCTCTCGGTCATCTGTGTGTATGTGCTCAGTCGTGTCCGACTCTTTGCAGCCCTCTGCTATAGCCCTCCAGGATCCTCTGCCATGGAATTTTCCAGACAAGAATATTGGAGTGGGTTGCCATTTCCTCCTCCAGAGGATGTTCCCAACCTAGGGATTGAACCCATGTCTCTTATATCTCTTGCACTGTAAGCAAATTCTTTACTACTGAACCACTGGAAAAGCCTATTTTCCAATCAAATGATGATTTGCCAAATTCATCTTAAAGAGCTAAACTAGTGAATTTCTTCCCCAAGTATTGTTCAGAGAATCAATTTTTAGTTGCAGGTAAGAGGTATACAACAATATGCTAAAGTAAGAAGGTGATAATGCTTGTCTAGAAAACTGAAGATGTATATGATAGGTGTACATGTATACCTATATATTCTCAGTTAAGGACATACATATTTTAAGTGTAATTATTTCAAGTTAAGCAGATTCTTAAAATAATTTGGAACAACAAATGTTTCATAATTGTTAATAATTAAAATTTTCCAAATGAACCTTTTATTGTATCTATAGGGAAAGTAGCTCTTTAAGGTTGGAAAATTTAAAACATTTACCAAAACATTTTTGGTTAGTTCAATTTTGAGCATACCCCAGTTATAAGCTACATTTAGGTAGGTATATATCTACACCTGAAGTATCAAAGCTAATACATGTTTGTCACATAGAAAATTAACAATACATATACTTTGAATATAAGAATACACAAAGTTTCAAAAAATAACTGGTACTCTGCCAATACTTAAATTTGTCTGTGCTGATTTAAACTAGAATTAATATTTCCATTGATTCTAGGATGATCATGCTAATGATAATACATACATGTATTTGAATAAAAAGTAGATGTCTTTGAAAGCCTAAAGAATGAGTAATAGGTATATAATATATCTTAATTGTTCTAGGAATACACATGCTATGCTTTGGAAGATATGCTTCACATACCTGACAGGTAATGTTCTGTCTCCTTTCCTTCTATCCATTTCTCTTTGGGGAACAGGATACCAACGGAAATTCAGTTTCCAGTTAAAACCCCCATAAGTCATGTCTGATCCAGCCATGTATTCAAAGGTGTCATCACTAATCACATCAATGATGGGGCATACAACTGTCTTCCTGCAGAAAAACTAAAATCAGCTGATGCAAAAATGATAACTTAAACATTTCATTAGCTTCTTTAAACATCACATAGCTGATACATTGAAATTTAATTATTTTGTGACTTTAATTTGCCTTTATTGTCATGTTACCCTTTTTCTCCATGGAATTACTTCCTTTTATTACATCTGACTTCAGTCTACTTTTATTCTATCATGTATAATCTAATCAAATATACTAATTGATCCTCAAGCTAATTTCCAAATGCATTCTAAGTACTAACTCAGCAGGATGAGCATGGCCTATTTTTCATTAAACCTCTCCCCACAGCATGATTAGTAGACTGCTTTGATATTATGCAGCATTTCAGCTATAGCCCACTGAAAAGCAACGGTGTGCAAGGAATGAAGGATGAATGATAGCAAATTCAATCTGGTAGCTTGACTCTCAAAGGCGATTGTTTAGATTAAAGAGAGAGCTCAGAGAAAATGTTCATGGAAAAACAAACAAATGAAAATCCACAAAGATAAGCAACAATTAAAATCATGATCATCAGTATAAGTAAATATTTCCTATGAAAGATATTACGTTCATGACAATTTCTGAGTGAATCATCTTAGACCAGCAGTTTACACTAACAATCTACATATTTTAAAATAGGAAAAGATAAGCAACTTCAGTCTCGGAGTTTTATGATCCATTTTTTTCTTAAAGTAAGAGGAAGAGCCAGAAGATTTGGTATTCTTTTCTTTTTTAATTTATTTTACTGAAGTAAAGTTGATTTACAATGTTGTTAATTTATACTATATATATATCACTTTGTATAGCAAAGTGATTAAGTTATACACACATAGATTTGATATTCTTGATGGTGGTTTTTTAGGATAAGGAACTTTGCACCATGGGAGGTCATTAGGTATTCTTTTAATCTATGTTTCACTTTCTCTAGTCTATCCCTATTCCAAGCCTATATGTTTTATTACAGTGTCAACCTTCTGTCATCTCCAAAGTAAATGTTTAAACAACTGGGCCTTGTTTATAGCTAATTCCAAAAAGGAGAGCTTGTTTTTCATATAAGATAGAGAGTAAATACACAAATATGCTCTAGAATCACCCATAGATATGGAAAACAAGGAAATGTTGCCCATTATTTATTCTGGTTTTGCAACACCTGTATCACCAATGCTCAATTTCTAATAGGTCTTATATGCCACACAATTGACCAATATCTAGAGTCCTCTGAAGTTGAAAGGTTTCAAACTTTGTTGATGATTCAGTGGTGAAGAATTCACCTGCCAATGCCAGGGACACAGGTTTGATCCCTGGTCTGGGAGAATGCCACATGCCATGGGCCAGCTAAGCCTGAGCACCACAGCTACTGAGTCAGCATTCTAGAGCCCTGGAGCCACAACTATTGAGACCACACACTGTGACTACTGAACCCCACGTGCCTAGAGCCTGTGCTCTGCAACAAGAGAAACCACGGAAATGAGAGGCCTACACACAGCAACAAGAGAGCAGCCTCTGCTTGGCACTAGAGAAAGCCCATGCACAGCTGCAAAGACCCAGTACAGCGTGAAAATGAACAAATGAATCTCAAAAAAAAAAAAGAAAAAGAAAGAAATTGAAAGGTTTCACCTAGCCTTGGATAAGCTTCTTGGTAACTCTGGTCCTTACAAAAACAATATCTTTCTTTCTTCATTAAATTTAATAATTTAAATTATAGGGAGATGACATTAGATCTAATAACCTTGAATAGAACTTTAGTATCTAGTTATGGCAACTTTAGAACATATAAGCAAGATAAGACATTAGAGTTCATTGTATGTTCATATAATGAACACCTAAATATGTTGTTAGATTAAAAAATAAATGATCTATTCATGACCATAGTGAAGTAACATTATATTATAATCTCACTAAGTTGAATATGAAACACATGTTTTAAAAAGCAGCATAATGTATGAAAAGCTGCCAGGAAATGCATTTAAGATGTTCCAAGTTCATTTTACTTTGCCAGCCTTACCCTCCTGTGCATACTGTACAATACACAGAATGGAAAAGTGTTATTACCCATATATTACATTCAGTAGACTAAAAGGTTCCCGCTGCTTTCTTCAACTGCTATGGTTCATTTTACTGACAACCTCCATCCATCTTCCTGGCAAATACCAAATCATGCCATTTTATGTGATAGAGCTGCAGTAGCTCACACAAAGCAGCCCCTGTCTTGGAGCCTTAATTAAAAACTTCAATTCTAAGAAGACCTTTCTACTGTTCATGAAATGACTGTACAAGCAAGGTGCTATGCAATGTTTTGCTATTATTTCAGACAGCAATCGGCATAATTGTCTTCATTAGGTGCTTAGGAATGGTACTCATTTATCATCAATAATTATGAATAACTGCAAGAAATCCATTTAAACTTCATAGTATCACATGGGAAAGAATTGCAGGTATCCATGAGGGTTTCTAATTTCTATAAAGCATTCTTCAACTTTTCAGATTTCATGATATGTCTGTACAGAATGGCAATGCTATTTAAATAAACATTCTTACAACTGCGCTTTTCTTTAAATCATGATTTCATTTCAGTGGGGTGCATGAGTGTATATGAGTTTATTTTTAAGGTCTTCAAGGTGGCTTTGCACTCGACTTTGATTAAGAAAAGTGACTAGGTAGAGAGAAGATTGTTCTGGAAGTGGAGAGATCTAAATTGTTGTCCTCGTCATTTACAATTTCTAGGACAAACTATTTAACTCATCTGTTCCTCCATATCATCAAATACAGAGAAGAGTATCTTTATAATCTACCTCACAGAGTGGTTGTGAAGACAAAGCTGCTTTGAAAATATATTTTGTTAAATATACTACTATTTCTGATTGGACTGATTTCCTTCATCTATAAAATGAATATTCAGCATCTTTACTGTTTGAATTGCTTGACTTTCTTAATCAAATATTCAGGTTTGGCATAAATAAACCAAAATCTTAATTAAATAAGGAGTAAGGGGACTTCTTTTTTAAAAGCTAGGAAATAAACGTTCTGAAAATAGCAGCTTGGGAAGAAAAGTTTTGAGGGATAGCTGTAACGGTCCTAACAAGTTAAGTCAAAATCCAGACAGACAGAGCATATGAATTCTTACCTGTCCTCCTTTATTCTTGCCAGCAAGGGCTCTAGCCATCCTAATGTGCATTCACAGTGTGCATCCAGGAAAGTTATGACTTGTCCTTTTGAAGCAGCTGCTCCTCGAAGGCGGGCACGTATTAAGCCAGAGCGCTCTTCCATTCTAATAATTTTTACTGGCACTTCTAAATTTTTCACATAATTCTCTAATGTTAACTTGAGAAAATCTGTAATGTGCAATTAAGAATTTATAAAGCTTTGAAATTCTGTTAAGACAGAGAAGTGATACTACTACTTAGATGGAAATTCAACACACAGAAGTGATAGTCAACTCCTATCAACATGCTTTGCATTAGGTTAAAAAAAAAGAAGATACAGAGATTTCATCACTATTACTGTACAGTTCATTATGACTGTATCACATGGCTGACAAGGATAAGGCTACACTAGGAAGTTAATATACTAGACTGTAATTTATAAACTGGGCCACATTGGCAAATGCAGTCTTCTTAAATATGTTATTTTTCTTTTGAAAGTGAAGTTGCTCAGTCGTGTCTGACTCTTCGCGATCCCATGGACTGCAGCCCACCAGGCTCCTCTGCCCATGGGATTTTCCAGGCAAGAGTACTGGAGTGGGTTGCCATTGCCTTCTCCACATATTTTTCTTTTACCTACACTAAAAAAAAGAGAGCCAGATACCTATTGTGTCATATGAATGTTTAGTCATATGACCAATTGAGTTGGGAAAAAAGAGAAATAATTTGCAAAGTTATTTTGGCTGATTTCTTATGTTAGTAAGAACCAAATGGAATCATGAGGTAGACTGAAAGAATTAGTTACTTGTTTCTGGAGTGGCACTGACTAGATATACTGAAAAAATTTGATAGGTAGTTTCAGGGTTAGTATAATGAAAAGGAAAATATGGATCATTACCCTGTTATCTTTTTGAACACAATAAAGCTCTATAATTAAAAAAATACATACACAATAAAAATAATTTTACCTCTTTCACTAGCATCATCTACCAAGATGACCTCAGAGAGCAGATAGTGTGGGGACCGATTTATAACACTGTAAACAGTTCTGAGGAGAGTGCTCCAAGCTTCATTATGAAACACAATGACTACACTTGTGTTTGGAAGTTCATCAGGGTAGACCTTTGTCTTGCATCTGGAAGAAAGGAAAGAAGAGGGACAAGCTAATAAGTTTATTTTTCCTTCTGATCATTGTAATAAAAATATCCATTATGACACAAAATTAGACTCAAAAGTTCCTTATTACAGCAGCACTTTATGGTTATCCAAAATTATTTTCCCTTTTATATATATTGTGAGTATTCACTTGGCACTTGGAAAATTAAATATGAATACTTACTAGTATTATTTGAACTGACTTTATTTTTTTAAATTTTACATTAACTCTAGGGAACAAAAAGGCATGATTTGGACATGAGTCTAAGAAAGCTAAAATAACATTATGAGACTATCAATGGAAGACCAGGTACTAAAGGAATTCATTTAGTAGATACAATTGTCTTTTTATTTAGAAAAAAGAATTATTGTATAACTCAAAAATTCCTGAGAACATAAATAGACATATGTTCACAGGGCTTTGAAGCTTGTAAAATGGAGATTACTTTTCTTCTAAAATCTAGTCATGTACATTTTTCATTCTGTTGAAGAATGCCATAATTCATGTCTACTTTGAGGGAAAGATGTTGGGGTCAAGATACATTTCAAAGATTCTCAAAAAAAAAAAAAAAACAAAATCAGAGATGACAAAAGGGTATAGGCTTCCAGAACATCTCTTGAATATACAGAGGAATCACCTGGGGATTGGGTAACATGCAGTTTCTAGTTTAGTAGATCTAGGGTGCAGTCTGAGAATATATAGGTTTTAAAATGTTTCCAGGTGATTCTGATGCTGTTGATCCCTGGAACACACGGTTAAGTAAAAGGTTGCATCATAATTGTTATTAATTTTAGAACTTGATATTTTGAAAATAAAAACTTAATTTTGCTGATAAATTAAAAGAAGTCCAGATTTTGCTTTTCAAGCTGTCAAACTTGTAAGGTACATTTTGATAAGTAATATGCAGATGTTTGGAGAAGGAAATGGCAACCCACTCCAGAGTTCCTACATGGAGAATCCCATGGACAGAGGAGCCTGGTGGTCTACACAGTCCATGGGTCACAGAGAGTTGGACATGACTTGGCGACTAAACCATCACCATGCAGGTGTTCTAGGTGGTCATTGCAGTTTTAATGTGCAGGTGTCTCTCAGCCATATCCACTTGTCAACTTTTAGACATTTTTGTCACATATTGTTAAATCATTGTGATTATAGAGTATTTTGCAAAAATGTCACTGGGTATCCAGACAGGAATAGAAATTTATTCACTTTATGTTATTTTTCCTGGTGAAATATGCTGAAGAGCAAGAAAATTAAAATCCTTCCATAAAGTAAAATGAACCAGAAACACCCTGCCACCAATAAATGACCTAATTCTTGACACAAAATTAGTATCGTTAAAATTAGTCCCCTTCACAGGTGAGTGAAAAAAACCCAATAAAGTGTGGGCATCAAAGGCATGTAATAAAATAAATACCAACTATATGCCTGCAGAGACTTTAATCATTTTTTAAAACAGTCTACAATAACACCTCAGTGAAGTGCTCTGTAATATAGCCAGGAAAGAATGTACATATGTCTAACCATTTTTTCAGCATATATTTATTTGAATAACATTCATTAACCATCCACGTTATATAAGACATTGTGAATATAAAAAAAGTTCAAATGTAGGGTAGAAGAGGTAGGTTGATTCATAGTCATGCTTTCCCATTCTGGTAGCAAGATTAAAGTGGTTTCTATTAATATATGTCTCATCGTCATTTGACTTGGGCTTCCAGGAAGTTTATCGTTAAACAAACTTAGAAAGCTGTCTTGGTAAGTCAGAAAGGTCCTAGCCAAGATTCTTCTCAAATCTCCATTCTTCTGCCTCATCAAAACACCCCCTCACTTTCAGTATGCTGAACAAAATGAGTCGTAAAGATGACTGTCATCATCAATGAAGAAGTAAAACTGAAAAAGCAGGCTGAAATCAGTCCAACAGTCAGCAACTACTGGTTTAACCCAAGGATAATAGTCTATGAAGGCTACTTATTATCATTTGTATATTAATCATTTCTTTTAAATTAAACCTCTTGCATGTTATGCTAAGTGCTAATAAAGAAAAAAAGTGAACAAGATATTTATTCAAATAAATCATTTATAAAATAAAAATAAAAGCAGATACTTAGATCCAGCTTCTCAAGTTATTTCCATCATGCCTTATTTTTGTGGTTAAAAAAATCCACTCACAAATGTTAATTTTATATTTGTTATATATGACAACATTATAATGAACTAATTTACTAATAATGCAGCTAAAATATTTTGCTTACTTAGAGAAAATTTCCACTATGTCATTATTTAATGTCGCATAAAATAAAATGTGGTTAATATTTTATTAATTCATCCTTTTTCTCCTATGTAAACAGTTATTTTGCAAAAGAAACTTTGCTTAATAAAATAGTTCATAGGATAATTCTTATTATACAAGTTAATCATTTTCTATGTCTGTTTATCCAGTTACTCAAGTATACAAATATATATGAACAAGAGTTTTTTATTTTTATAATTTTTAAAAGATTTATGATACGTTGAACTGGAATTATTGCCTATAATTCTTCAAACCTCTTGCCACCTAGGGTAAAATACATCATTATTTTATGCACCACTAGGAAAGAAAAATGTTGTCAAACCATAATAAAATGCTTTGTTATCTTGAATAGGATCTATTCAATACCTAAAGCCTATAGAAAAAGCTCTCAAATTTATTTTGACATAGATTGCTATCAATATTTTAAGCTTACTTATACATCAGTCACACTAGTTTCTTATTGCTTTGAAATTTCTTTCATCTATTCTAAAGGGATTTCTCTAGTTTTGGGTTGTATTGCTTAACAAATGAGAGACATACATTTAGCATGTATCTCAGTAACAAAATATTAACACAAAACAATTTCATCTTGCGAGTATCCTCCTTGGTACTATAAAACTGTACTTACAAACTTTTAGTGGCAAAGGAAATCTTGACAAAATTCAGATTCTGATTCAGTAGATCTGGTATGGGAATAAGGTTCTGAATTCCTAGTAAGACTCCTGGCAATGTGGACACTGCTAGCCCTGAGTTGACATAATAAGCAGTTGATAATAAGGCTATTGTCAGCTGTTGATAAGCAAGAGAAACTAGTCATTGCTCCAATGCTAAACATTGGCTTCATCTTATAAAATTCAATTGTTGCCACTGTTTCCTTCCTTTCTTTTCACACTGTAACATTTTGTTTCAATAACGAATCATATTGCAATCTTTCTAAAGAAATATTGAATGACAAACTCCACACACAGAATATAAATAGTGCACATAACTTAGTTGAAGCTTGATTATGTGAACAGCATTACCACATTCACACAAGCTTAAGGAACATTGCCTATATGACAACTGTAACTAACCACCAACTATAAAACTCATCCTGAGTGAGACACATGAAAGTTAAAAAGTGTACACTTAAAACAGGTAAATACAGTAATTTTTTCTTTAGCCATAGAAAAATACTTAAAGTGTTGTTTGATTTTTTTAGTTTTCTTAAAAATGCTTTTAGTATCAAAGCTGGAAGAGTTTTTAACTCAGTGATTTTTCCAGAAAAAAATTAAAAACAAAGAAAATACAACAAGGAATGTATATAATGGGATTGGGGGAAGGTACTTAAAATAATTCTGTAGTTTCGACTTCTCTAATGATCTTTTAAGTGTGTGCTTTTTACCTTTCATATCTTACTCAGGATGAGTTTCATAGTTGATGGTTAGTTACAGTTGTCATGTAGACAATATTCCTTAAGCTCCTGATGCTGGGAAAGATTGAAGGCAGGAGGAGAAGGGGACGATAGAGGGTGAGATGCTCGGATGGCATCACTGACTCATTGGACACGAATTTGAGCCACCTGCTGGAGATGGTGAAGGACAGGGACGTCTGAGGCGCTGCAGTCCATGTGGTCGCAGATAGTCGGATGTGACTGGGCAACTGAATGATGTACTCTGAAATGTGTGGTAGACATTGCTTGATCTACACAGCAGAGTGGGCTTCCCCGATGGTCCCAGTGGTTAAGAATCTGCCTGCTAATGCAGGAGCCACAGGAAATACCAGTTCAGTTCCTGGGTAGGGAAGATCCCCTGCAGGGGGGAATGGCAACCCACTTCAGTATTCTTGCCTGGAGAATTCCCAGGACAGAGGAACCTGGTGTGCTACAGTCCTTGGAATTGCAAAGGGTCAGACAGGACTGAGCACGCATGCCACACAGCAGAGTAAAGCTCAGAATCTCCAAAAGGTGGAATTGGAAAGGACTTTCAAAGTTGACTGGACTGAGAAGCCTGGCAGGCTACAGTCCATGGGGTCACAAAGAGTCAGACATACCAGAGCAACTAACACTTTTACTTTCACTTTTCCAAGTTGACTAATTCAAATATTTATTTCACAGGATACAAATCTGAAGTCACAGAGCTACTTCAATACCATGCATAATAAAGTAATAAATGATATTGCTAATAAAATGATTTATGATTTAATAATATTAGTAATGGTAATGATTACTGCTCCATAATATATATACTAGATCAAATGTCTTAAATGATATTGTTGGTGTGTAAAATTATAAAAAAATTTCTATGCATTTAAAAAAATAATTTATATATTTATAAATATATATGTTTATAAAAAGAGAAGTAGATTCCCTAGGATCATTTTATTAAAACTAAGTATAGAAAGTCAACTATCACTGAAATTATGTACATATGGATCAAATACTCTTAGCAATCTGTCTTTTGAAGACATTATTTTTCTTTTATGTAAACATCTAAATAGAAGTGGAAATTTTGACGCAATTGTGAGAGCATAATGTATATGTAATTAAGTTTGAGAGCAAATGTGTCAGACTGCAACAGCAATTTTAATCAATTTGAAAGATACTTGATACCCAATACTCAAATTGAGCTCCTGAAATCTGGTATTTCAACAAGCTCATAAGATTTATCCTAGCCGAATTTCATATTTGCACTATATTTTGACATTC